TTGAGCTGAAGAGCTGAGGGACAGTGCCCAGGCCCAGAGTTCAGGCCCTATGACTGGACCAAAAAAAAAAAAGAATATAATTTTAATCCGGGCGCCAGTGGCTCTTGCCTATAATCCTAGCTACTCAGAAGGCTGAGATCCGAGGATTTCGGTTCAAAGCCAGCCTGGGCAGGAAAGTCCATGAGACTCTTTTCTCCAATAAACCACTAGAAAACCAGAAGTGGTGCTTGGCTCAAATGGTAGAGCTCTCGCCTTGAGCTGAAGAGCTGAGGGACAGCACCCAGGCCGAGTTCAAGCCCCATGACCAACAACAACAACAAAAAAAGAATATAATTTTAGAGGCAGGGCAACTGTGGCTCATGCCTGTAATCCTGTCTACTCAAGAGGGTGAGATCTGAGGATGGCAGTTCAAGGCCAGCCTGGGCAGGAAAATCTGATACTCTTATCTCCAATTAATCACCAGAAAACCAGAAGTGGCACTGTAGCTCAAGTGGTAGAGCACTAGCCTTGAGCTGAAGAGCTCAAGTTCAAGCCCCAAAACAGACTAAAATGTGTGTGTGTGTGTGTGTGTGTGTGTGCATAATTTTGAAATACACACATTTTCTGAAGTATTCAACAATGTTTTTACTGTATATATTCAAAACCTGGGTGCTGAAGCATGGTGGTATACATCTTTAGTCCCAGCACTTGGAAGGCTAAAGCAGAGGGATGTAAATTTGAAGTCAGCATGAGCTATTTATTGAGACTCTCTCTCACAAAAAAAATAAATAAAAGAAGCCAGGCGCCAGTGGCTTACACCTGTAATCCCAGCTACTCAGAAGGCTAAGATCTGAGAATCATGGTTCAAAGCCAGTCCAGGCAGAAAAGTTCCTGTGAGACTCTTATAGTGGAGCTGTGGTTCAAAGTGGTAGAGTACTAGCCTTGAACAAAAGAGCTTAGGGACAGGGTCCAGGCATAGAGTTCAAGTCCCATGACTGACTAAAATAAATAAAATTCTGAAGCCAAGAGCATACCTCTCAGCACCCAGGACACAAAGGCAGAAAAATTCTGTTTGTTGTTGTTGTTGTTTTGGTCAGAGATCACTACTCAAACTCAGTATTATGCTTTCACTCATTGGCTGGAGCTCTACCACCTAAGCCACACTTACAGCTCCAAAGTTTGAAGCCTGCCTGGGCTGAATAGGGAAACCCTAACTCAGAAAAAAAAAGTGAAAAGAAGAAGTAAGAAAAGAACAGAAGAGAAAAAGAAAAAGTAGCCCAATGGCTCATGCCTATAATCCTAGCTACACAGGAGGCTGAGATCTGAGGATCATGATTCAAAGCCAACCCGGGCAGGAAAGTCTGTGTGACTCATAACTTCAATTAACCACCAGAAAAATGGAAGTGGCACTGTGGCTCAAGTGGTAGAGTGCTCATCTTGTGCTAAGGCTTAGAGTTCAAGCCCCACAACTGACCAAAAAAAAAAAAAGAGTAAACCTCAGGAGAACAAAGGATTTGACTATGGGTATTGCCTCAGACAAGATGAATGATAAATTTTGAATTTTCAGTCAGTAGTTTTCATCTAGAGGGAGGAAGTAGAGATGGTACTTTTAAAACCATCTGTTTATGCTAACTATCACCTAGGTTCCTCCATCCCACCAGCATTTGGCAGAAATCAGAAGGATCTTGATCCCAAATGGCAGAGATTTCATGTGATTCTTCTACTCACACCACTAGTAATGCTCACAGAGATAAAGAATATAACAAACAGCTGAGTAATTTGGGCTGCCCTGAGTACTATCCATAACAGGAAGTACACCAACAAAAAGGCAAAACGTCTGGGCTTCTAAAGTTCCAAAATGTGAAGTCTATAAAATTTCACCCAAGCCAGGTGCTAGTGACTCACAACTGTAATATTAGCTACTCAGGAGGCTATAATCTAAAAATCATGGTTTGAAGTCAGTCTAGGCAGAAAAGTCTCTGAAACTCTAATTAGCCATTTACTAGCAAAAAGCATAAAAGCATAAGTGGATCTGTGGCTCAGTATTAGAGTGTCAGCCTTGAGCTAAAGAAAAACAAAATCAGGCACAGATCTAAAGGTAGATTTTTATTTATTTTTTTGGGGTCTGGTCATGGGGCCTGAACTCTGGGCCTGGGCACTGTCCCTCAGCTCTTCAGCTCAAGGCTAGCACTCTACCACTTGAGCCACAGCGCCACTTCCGGCTTTTTTCTTTTTGCTTAGTGATGCTGAGGAATCGAACCCAGGGCCTCTGGCATGCAAGGTAAGCACTTTACCACTGAACCAACTAACTTCCCAGCCCTAAAGGTAGATTTTTTTATGTTTGTTTTTATTTTCACTTTTGCTGATCCTGGGGCTTGAACTCATGGCCCAGGCACTGTCCCTGAGCTTCTTTTGCTCAAAACTAGTGCTCTACCACTTGAAGCACAGCATCACTTCTAGCTTTTTCTGAGTACTTTATTACAGTTTATTATAGATAAGAGGCTCATAGACTTTCCTGCCTTGGCTGGCTTCAAACCACAATCCTCAGATCTCAGCCTCCTGGGTAGCTAGGGTTACAGGTATGAGCCACTAGCACTGGCTGATACTTTTCTTTTTAGGGGATGGGAGCAGGAAGTTAAAACAGGGTTCTTTTTATAAAGCCCAGGCTGGTCTCAAAGTCACTATGTTGTCCAGGTTGGCCTTTTAAATTCTCAATCATCTGCCCTCAGCTTCCTGAGTGCTGGGGTTACAGATATGCGCCACCATACCAGGCTTTAATTTAGATATTTTCAACAAAAATAAATTGATTCTAAATTTTCAAAGGTAAAAGAGGAAGCCAAAGGAAACAAAGATATATGTGCTAATAGAAAAAAAGTTCTATAGTTTAAACTAACAATAAAAACAGAAAAGAACAAAGTGATCTTACCCTATTTGAATATTTATCATATTTACAGTGTAGACAAATTACATGAATCTTCCATGACCTAAATATGAGCTTCTGTAGAGATTCCAATGTTCTATCTTGTTTGAAATTAGTTACACAGGTATAATAGTAGAAATATGGTCAAAGGAGAGTTGCCACATTTGTCACATGCTGATAAAGACTTGGGTATCATTGCAACAATGAGATGTATAAGATGTTATGTCAAAAAATGAACTTTACAACTTTGGCGAGGGGTGGGGGTGGGGTAGATGGGAAGGGATAGGAAGGGGAAACAAAGGAGGAGGCAACAATGCTTGATAAGAAATGTACTCATTACCTTGCCCATGTAATTATAACCCCTCTGTATGGTATTTTCACAATTAAAAAATAAATAAATAAATTACAGACTTGGGTATTACTTAACTGGATACTGGCCTATCTATGATGCCAACTGCATACAAAGCAGTCACCACATATCCAGGCCCTGAGTTCAAGCCCCACGACCAAAAAAAATAAAAATACCCAAAGTAGTCACCACTGTCCACTTTGTGACTGGTGAATGGCAAATCTTATAAATCCAACTATTTTCAGTAAGGTATTTACTAGACATAAGAATAACTGCCATGGAAACCTTCCAGTCACGACCTAAAAGGTAGAGACAAGAAAGAGGAGAGAGCTGGGCACTAGTGGCCTACACTTGTAATCCTAGCTACTCAGGAGGCTGAGATCTGAGGACTGTGATATAAAGCAAAGCTGGGCAGGAAAGTCCAAGAGATTCTTCTCTTCAATTAACTGCTGGAAAACCAGAGAGGAGCTGTGGCTCAAAGTAGTAGAGTGCTAGCCCTGAGCGAAAGAGCTCAGGGACAGCACCCAGGCCCTGAGTTTAAGCCCCATAGCAGACAAAAAAAAATATGAAGAGAGAGCTGGGTGTTGGTGACTCATACCTATAATTCTAGTTACTCAGGAGGCTGAGGATCTGAGGATCTGAGGATCACAGTTCACATCCAGCCTGAGCAGAAAAGTCTACAAGACTCTCTTTTTCAATTAACTAGCAAAAAGCTAGAAGAGGAGGTGTGGCTCAAGTGGCAAAGTACCAGCCTTGTATAAAAAAAAGCCAAGCAAGAACAGGACAAGAGATCCTGAGTTCAAGCCCCAGTATAGGCACAAGAAACTGAAAAAGAAGAAGGAAGAAAAGAAGGAAGGAAGAAAGGAAGGAAGGAGAGAGGGAGAGAGGGCAGGAAGAATTAGATGGTCAAGATCACCCTACCAATGAGGTCCTCCCAGACAGAAGCTTTATTGCCCCGAAGACTCAGCTCTCGCTCCCAGGTCTCTGGTCTAGATAGCTTCATCCGCTGCCCAGCTCTGCTAGAATCCCATGGCCCAGGGAGGTGACTTTGAGAAAACTGCTGTAGGCTGGAGGGGTACCTAGGACAGAGAAGAAATTGTCAATCATTTCAAAGCTAGCAGAAAGTAGAAAAGGGGACTTAATCAAAGTCAGTCAGTCATGTTGACAACACCTGCCCAGGCTTGCCCAAACTTGTGTTGCTCTAAGTTTAAAACTACCAAGATTGGGGGCTGGGAAGGTGGCTCAGTGGTAGAGTGCTTGCCTTGCATGCATGAGGCCCTGGGTTCGATTCCTCAGCACCGCATAACCAGAAAAAAAAAAGCCAGAAGTGGCGCTATGGCTCAAGTGGTAGAGTGCTTGCCCTGAGCTGAAGAGCTGAGGGACAGCACCCAGGCCCAGAGTTCAGGCCCATGATCGGACCCAAAAAAAAAGAACTATCAAGATTGGGGCATAGATGAACTATGATGGAGTCACCATGATGGAACATATGTGCAGCATGTAGCTTCTCACCTGTAGCCCAGCAGGGCCTGGACATGCTCGGCAGGCTTGTTGATATGCAGTCGCTGTACTAACTTCTTCAGGGTGAACTTTGGCTGGCTGTTTTTCTTTGGTACTGGATTGTAGGCTGCCTCAAACTGTGGAAACAGTCCAAGTCCCAAAGGGGGTGATTTCAACCATTTCACAGATTTTCTTCAGAAAGCAGAGCCCGTGAACATGCTCTACCTATCAGATAATTTCTTTCCGTAAAACAGATTTGGACAGCCAGGTACCAGTAGCTCACACCTATAATCCTAGCTACTCAGGAAGCTGAGATCTGAAGATCTCAATTCAAACCCAGGCAGGAAAGTCCTTGAGACTCTTATCTCCAAATAATCACCAAAAAGCTGGAAGGGGATCAAGCAGTAGAGCTCAGCCTTGAGCAAAACTGGTAAGGGACAGTTCCCAGGCTCTGAGTCAAGCCCTAGTAGCACAGAAAAAAAAATGGATTTGGAGAAAGAACAGAATGTAAAATATGCAGCAACAAATATAAGACATCACGTTATGTCGAAAAATGAACCTTACAACTTGGGGGGGGGTTACAGGGAGGATTGGGTGGGGGGGGGGGGGGAGGATGGGAAGGGATGGGAAGGGGAAACAAAGGAGGAGGCTACAATGCTTGATAAGAAATGTACTCATTATCTTGCCCATGTAATTGTA